ACAGCGAAGTAGCGGAATAATATTTGACTAAATTTTAAATTCATTACCATACACAGGTTTTTGAAAAATTTTAGCAAAAAATCTTTAAAATCTTAACTTTTACGCTAATATATCAAGATAAATGTATTAAACGTGGAGATATGATGTAAGCACGGAACAAGAGCTTGTTCAAGCCATAAGAGATGGAAGTTTAGAAGGAGTCAAAAATATAAGTAGCTATTGCTCAGAAGAGCAGTTTACACCAATGTGAAAGGTCTATTTATTGATGGTAATTGATATCGTTTTATATATGGTAGTAAAAGTTACATTGATAATTTTCTGTGAGCGATCAGCTAAAAGCTATTAAAGAGCTACCTTCTCCATTTTCAGGCGCAAGAAAAGATTTTGGTAAAAAGGTTTATGACATCCAATTACAAGGAGCTTTTTTAACTAGCAAAAGGATGGAACCAGAGATTTTAGTATAAAATCATTGGAGAAAAGGAGTTATTTTTTGCTAAACGCAGTAAATCGAACTATGAGGTATATGGAATAGAACAGAGTGGAGCTGATTTTGCAACTGGATGGAAAATAGATACTCATAATATACAGAGCTATGTTGCATTAATTATTTAAGATTAAAATACTAAAAAACAGCATTAGCTCATATATATGATAATGCGAGCAATATATAATTTGTTAAGAATATTTTATCTTATATACCAAGCGGTGATAAAGAAGTAGTTATGCCTGATACTAACCATACAGCCCCACTATATAACTATATATTATCCTCGTTTAAGGAGTTATTATGTGACAAGTATTACATGGGTGCGCCAAAACAATATAGGAGGTGTGTAGAGTAATACAAAACAGTAAAGAGAGTATAGCAAAGCTTGCAGAGCACTATAATCTTAATCCGAAGGCTATTGTAAAATGGAAAAAACGCTCATTTGTTATAGACGCTGCAATTGGCCCAAAACATGGAAAATCAAAGATGTCAACTCAAGGGGAAGAAGCAATAATTGTCACTTTTCGCAAGCATATACTTCTTCCTTTGGACAATTGCCTTTATTCTTTGCGGGCCATAATTCCTTGTTTAACTCGGTCTAGTTTGCATCATTGTTTGCAAAGACACGGCATTAGCATACTGTCAGATGTTGAAGGAGAGATAAAAGCCAAAAAGAAATTCAAGCTATGTCCAATCGGTTATTTCCATATTGATATCGCAGAAGTTATAACAGAAGAAGGGAAGTTACAGCTAAACTTGCTTATGTTAAACTGCATAATAACGCTATAAAACCAATAGCTACTGAGTTTTTGCGTAATTTAATCAAAATTACCCTATGAGAATTAAGAACGTCATAAACACGCTTTTTAGCGCATATTTGATAGAGTTTTCAAAAATGACATTGAACATCGTCTTACTAAAATCTGACATCCCTCGACAAGTGGCCAAGTTGAGCGTATGAATAGGATGCTAAAAGATGTTGTAGTTCAAGGGTATTACTCTACTAATCTCATTAGTAACTCAAAGAGCATCTTTATAGCTTCGTTATGGCCTACAATTAAGCTAAAAGACTCAAAGCTCTTAAGGAACTCACACCTCTTGAATTCGTATGTGATTAGTGGACAATATTTCCTGATTTATTTATACCCAATACTCGCCTTCATACTTTGGGAGGATGTAATTAGATCCAATTTGATAATCAGTATCATATTTAACAGGCGCATAACTAATAGAAAATTCATCTATCAATCCAGCTTTTAACATCAAGCATATATCACTTGCTTTTTGAATATCCAAAAGCAAGTGTGCGATTATGTAGAGACTAACTTTATTTTCATATATGTCTATAATATTGCCTATAGGTTCGCTAGGATCATATTGCTAAGGTAGTTTTGCCTTGTTTTCATTCGAGTTTTTCTTAAACGCTCCGGGCAAAGTTAAATCATTTTGTTTATCAACCATATTAAAAACGCTAGCATAGCGAGAAAATATACCATTTTATTCTAGATCTTCACCCCCTACAAAACAAGGAAAAAGTGGCAAAACCCCTTGTATTTTAGACAATTAAGGGTTTAAAAAATAGAAGAATTTGAAAAAATCGTGCAAAAAAGTGAGGCTGTAGTGGAAAAATGGAGGCAAAAAAAGAAAGGGCACGGAAGAAAATCGCATGGTAAAACACTAGAAGGCGAAATATTCATGCATAATACATCCATCTTTGGGATTTTTATTTAACTTGCACAACTCAAATTCTGATTTATTGGGTGAAGAAGATACACTACAGATACTCGTTCAGGTAATGGAGGTATGCTCAGGTTGTTTAAAAACAAAGAATTTCAGCTAAAAAAGATATTTTTGATCAAATTACTGAAGTGAGGATGAAATTTTTTAACAATATACAGAATTCANACAACACGAAAATCCTGCTACACAAGAATTAGATAGTCAAAATGCACCTAAAACTGGTGTAAATGGTGATAAACAAAATCAAGGTGTTGCTCTTGAAGAGCCTGCTGTACAATTAAATGATCAAAATGAACCAGAAACCACACCTCGTGAGAGATCATCTTCTACAGTAGGAAGTGACATGAAAGAAGTAACAGCTCAACAAAAAGATTCCAATGTCCAAACAACCAGTTTATGATGAAAGAAGAAGCATAGACTTGGATGCCATTTAATGCATAGTCCCAGGGTATGATGGCATAGATATATGAGAAGTTACCATCAAAGGAGGAGTATCAAATATTACATGGGTGCACCAAAACAACAGAGACCGTTCATAGAGCAATACACAGTAATCAAGAGAACAAGCAAAGCTTTCTAATTGCAATTGGGGTTATAATAGTAGTGCTTTCTGTGTACAGCTTGGCAAAAGCAACTCTAGGTATATTACAGAGCCACACAAATTTCAGCTATCCATTGCTTGTAAATAAGCTAAAATCCTTCATTCAGGATCTTTATTGCATAAATTTTAGCTTGATTAAGATCAATGATATATTATTATAGTTTTTTTTAATTGGATTTTATGCCTAGAGTATTACTTTTACTGGTTTTAATAATAATTATAGCAAGTTTGCCAATAATAAATAATTGGCTTTCAAATAGTAGAAAAGTAGCATTGGATGATGACTACATTAGCAAAGAGTTAGACAGCTATATAGATAGAAATCTTGACAAGATTGTAGAAAATATTCAAGAAAAAAGCAAGTATGCTACTCGGGGTAATATATTTAAAAATAAAATTTCACAATATAAAGATGAAATATTTGATTCAACTTATCCTTGTTTTGGAAATGAAAATAGTCATATTATAGCTGTTGGTTTTTTTGATTATTCTTGTGGGTACTGTAAAGCTATAAAAGATGATATTAAACAATTAATTGATGATGGTAAAATTAAGTATATATTTAGAGATACGCCGATACTTGGTGATGGTTCTTTAAAAGCGGCAAAAAGTGCTTTAGCTGTTTATTTTGTTAATAAAGAGAAATATTTTGATTTTCACCATGCTGCTTTAAGTTATAAGGAGAAATTTTCAGATGATAATATATTGAACATAGTACAAAATATAGGTATTAGTAAAAGTGATTTTAATAAATCAATGAAGAATAACATGAGCAAAATTGAACAGATGATAAATAACAGTAGACTCTTAGTAAAAAACCTAGGTATAGGTGGAACGCCTTTTTTGATTATTGGAGATAGCTTATTCGTAGGAGCAACTGATTTAAGCATACTACGCAAAAAAGTGAATGAATTAAGTGACAATAATCAGGCTACACAATTCTAAAATATGTTAATATAGCCGAAGGGAAGCGCTAGATAGCATGTAAATCCGCAGAATAAGCTTTTTAAGATGTTTTGTGTAGTGATAAATCATAAAAGTGTAGGTGAACATTATAGAATCTACTTGGGAAGTATGAGTAAGCCTCGATGACAGAGTCACCATTGACAGTTTAGTTATTGGAAGCATCTGTCATTATTATGCTATATAATATATTGAGATTTGTTTGTAATTTGTGAATAGGGTG